TAAGACGTGGTTGGTGGTGGCCAAGGATGAAGAGAGATGTAACTGAACATGTAACTCGTTGTTTGACTTGCCAGAAAGTCAAAATTGAGCATCAGAAACCAGCCGGAATGCTACAGTCTCTTGATATTCCAGAGTGGAAATGGGATAGCATTTCTATGGACTTCATTATAGGATTTCCTAGAACATCTTCTGGTCATGACACTATATGGGTAATCGTAGATCGACTCACCGAATCAGCTCATTTTCTTTCTACCAATATCACGTATTCTCTTAAGAAATTAACTGAAATCTATATAAGAGAAGTGGTGAGATTGCATGGAGTGCCGACAAATATCGTATCTGATCGTGATCCGAGGTTCACATCAAACTTTTGGAAGTCATTACAGGAAGCCATGGGTACTCGTCTGAGTTTTAGCACCGCTTACCACCCCCAGACCGATGGGCAAACGGAACGAACCATACAAACTCTTGAAGATATGTTAAGAGCTTGTGCCATTGAGCTTAGAGGTAATTGGGATAGTCACTTGCCATTAGCTGAATTTGCCTACAATAATAGTTTTCATTCTAGCATTCAGATGGCACCTTATGAGGCATTATATGGAAGAAAATGTAGGTCGCCACTGTGTTGGACAGAATTAAGTGAGAGAACTGTTTTGGGGCCGGACATTGTTGATGAGACTACCCAAAAGATTGCTTTAATCAAGCAAAAATTACTCACAGCTCAAAGTAGACAAAAGAGTTATGCGGATAAGAGGAGAAGACCGCTTGAGTTTGAAGTAGGTGACCATGTATTTTTGAAAATCTCTCCGGTAACTGGTGTTGGAAGAGCTATTAAGGCTAAGAAGTTGACACCAAGGTTTATGGGGCCTTTTGAGATCTTAAAACGAGTTGGACCAGTAGCGTACCAAGTAGCATTACCACCCCAAATTGCTGGTATACACAATGTATTCCATGTATCACAATTAAAGAAGTATCAACCAGATCCTTTCCATATAATTGAACCCGAGGAGATTGAACTCAGGAAGAATTTAACATTCAGAGCTGAACCGAAAGAGATTGTGGATTATAAGGACAAGCAATTAAGAAACAAGACCATTAGATTGGTTAAAGTAATCTGGAAGGGTACAACTCCAGGTGATGCTACGTGGGAGACCGAGGATAGTATGCGACGTGATTATCCTCGTCTTTTTGATTAAGTAAGTAGTTAATAGTTACTAACTTCAAATTTTGAGGACAAAATTTTTAAAAGGAGGGGAGAATTATAACATCCCAATTTAAATTTTAATAGTTAATTTGGGTTAATAGAAATTTAAAAAAAATAATATTTAGAGGTAAGAAAATTAGTAGAAAATGATTATTAAATCTAATTTAGGATATAATTCTAAATTAAAAAAATTATTAAAAATTAAAAAAAATATTATTAAATTATTATTATATAAAAAAAAAAAAAGTAAAAAAAAAAGGAAAAGAAGAAGAAGAAGAAAACCATTTGCTTTCGGCGTCGCGTCATGATTACATAAAATAATAAAAAAAAAGGGAGAGAGAGGAAAGAAGAAATAATAAAAAAAAGGTGTGGGACCCACTGAATTTTTATAAAAACTCACTTGTTCCTTCATTTCTTCATTCCTTCTTTCGTGCGTGAGCTGAGGCAAAGAGAGCATCTGTGAGCCAAGTTCACCGGTGCTGGGTTTTAAGGTAAGAGTTTTTAATAGGATATTTAGGGTGTGATTTTAAGCTTTCCAAGACTAAGTAAGTGTTCTAAAATTTTTTCTTAGTCATCCTTCTTCTTTGGTTTCTGAGTTTGTAGTGGTAGAAAATTTAAGATCTGGAAGAGGGATGAATTTATGTTGAATAAATATGATTTTTGAGGTTGTCAGTAGTATAATAAATGTTCTAGAGTATAAATTTATTGATGATCTTTGAATCTGTGGCTTATTGATCAAATTCTAAACTAGATCTGAAAATATATGTTGATTTATTGAGGTTTAGATCATTATTTGGGATGAGAAATGAATTATTATGGTTATAGGATTATGATTCTAAGCTAGAGACTCAATTTTTAATTTTTGGGTATTTTAGGTACGAATTTATGAAATAAAAAGAAAATTTTGATAATAGAAATTAGTTTAGAAGTTGATTTTTAGATTATTAATGTTTATTGATAATTAAAAGAGGAGTTAAAAATTTTACTTAATAGTATTAACTATAGATTTGTATTAAGATTGAGATTAGGAATTATGTTATATTTTTAATTCTATTATTAGAATTATTTTATTAGTTTCAAAAATTGAAACTAATATTTATAAATAATATGTCATTTGTAGATTGTATCACTGGTGAAAATTGTGGTGAGAGAGAAATTTTAAGGAATAATTTATTGAAAAAGCCACAAGATAACCATGCTTTTAATTTGTGATTAGTGTTACTTCATGTTAATTGGGTGATTATTGAGAAATTATAAATTTTGTAATATTATATAATTGTGCAATATTATTATGAATTTATTTGATTATTGTGGGAGGTGTTGGGAGACTTGCTATTGTTGTTGTATTTATGTGCCACGTGGTACGCCCCTATTGGAGCTCAATAGGTGGCTTGTAAGGGCTCGGGTTAATCTATCTTTGGCCGGGTAATTTAGCACCGAGTGAGGGCTACGGCTCGAGGTTAATTGAGGGATATAAGGATGGTTGTTTGTGTGTATTGTAATATTTCTTATATTTGTTGGAATTATATTATTTTTAATTCTCACTTAGTAAGCACACACTTAACTGTTTGTATACACTATCATAAATTAGCTTTGGTTACTGGGACTTTTGAGTCTCATTATGTGGTTAACAATTTTCAGGAGAAGAGCCACGAGTGACACGTGGAGGAGTCCCAGAGGCTTAGTGGTATAGATCCGCTGTCTCTTTTGGGTATTTAATTTATGATTTATAATGTGTTATATTGCCAATATTAGGGCTTTTTGTTTATTATCAATTATATGAATATATAAATGTAATCATGCCTTTCAAACTATTTCTATTTTTGGTACAATTTGGATGACTGTAAATTTAATATTTGGTTTACTTTGGATTGGTTAAAATGGCATGATTATAAGGCCAAATAACTGGTTTATGTTGAAAAATGACTAAATTGCTTATTTTACTTGTTGGGAGTATAAGGATGGACAAATGTGATTTAGTTTACTTGTTGGGAGTATAAGGATGGACAAATGTGATTTAGCCTAATGGCATGTGGGAGGTAAAAATTTATCTGAAATGTTATAGTGTATGAGTTGAAGCCAATTATAAAATATTTTATATTGAAATTATTGATATAAAAATGTGTTGGGTGGCTGTAACCCAACTATAGTTGAGTTAAATTATTTAAAAAAAAAATTTGGTATGTTACAACCGATACCACAATCCCAGTTAACTTTGTTTGTTTGATCCTGTTAGAAATTGACTATTCAAATCGTCGAGTTTGAACAATCTTTCAAGTTTCTTTTAAATTCAAATATAGAATTTAAAATTTTAGTTTAGATCCAAACAAAAAATTTTAATACTGTAATTTAAAATTTTTTTATATCATCCAAATAAAAAATTTAAAATCTATGAATTTAAAATGTAAGATTTTAAATTAAAATTCTCAACTTAAATCCACTCATTTAAACACAGCCTGAACGATTTTATAATTTTAACAAAATAAAAGAGAATTCAATGCATTTTACTCACAAGTATGCTAAGTGCGATAAAAACTGCTCTGACTATAAATCATACTGAAATCATGCAAGGTTGTCAAACTTCCACTCTCTGTTTCCCCCTCTCCCCCCAAGGATTTTGAGCGAAATGTACCAGTGTAGGAGGCTTTGTGTAGCCTGTGAGTAACCTTGAGCTGATTTTGGATCCATGTTCACTCTCCTTTTTGTGGTTCGTGTTCGTGTATATTTTGAGACGAGGCTGGATTTCATAGAATAAGAATATTTCGAATATTTGTAATGTCATTTGGGTAAATTTTGTTCCGGTGGATGCTATTTATTATATCAAGTCCTGCATCCAATAATCAGGAAATAAATCAGAAATATATAAAATTTAGAATATACATTTTTAACTAAATAACTTACATTATTTAAGTAAAGTAGACAATCTTCTAATATGTTTATTTAATATAAAAATTGACCGTAATCATGATTTGCATATAACAGTTTTGTATCATGTTTCTACGTTGTTTTTTAAGAAAGAATAGGGATATTATGCAAAATCCTAAGAATTTGAGTGATACACATGTAAGCTTCTTCTGTGGCCAATGATACATTGCAATTACACACAAGCATCTCAAATTCAAAATGAAAGATAAATGGATTGTCAACTAAACGAAAGGAAAAATAGCTACAGATACATAAGTGGGCAATGGCGATTCGCTGGCCTTCTCTTGTCTTTTCCTTCGGTTGTTTTCCACGATTGGTTGTGTTATGGACGCTGGTAGGGCCGAATTGTTTTGGCTCCAAGAGTCTTTTTCTGGCCCCCAAAAAAAAAAAAAGAACAATAAAAAAGGGCTCCAAGCAGTTAATCTTCTCTTTCCTGTTTAAATCCCTGGCTTAAAAGGCACATCTATCTATTGCCCAAAAAAAAAAAAAAAAAAGGCCACATCTATCCAAACGCGATACATCAACAATATCATTGTATTGATCGGTAATATATATATATGTATGTATGTATGTATGTATATGTATATTAGTGCTCTTTATTAGGTCATGAGGTCCATCTCCATTTTATTTCTCAAGTTCAACTCGCTTAAATTTTTTGTACTAGCAGAAAATATAACAATATAATTTTCGATAATAGCCATATGGTGCTAAATTTGAAATAAATCCTAAAAAACTCATCTATTTGGGCGGTTATTGGGAATGGCAGCATAAAAAATGACATGAAATTCAAAAAAAAAAAATTGGGAAGCTTTGCATAATTTTATTAATTATAACAAACATTTTTATTTTATAATCCATCTCAGGTATTATAAAAGTCGCACTAGTATATACAGTTTGTCATTTCCCATCAAACCAGTTATATCATGCATCGCATATGGCATACAGAAATATATTTTATTATGCGCAAATTTTATTCAACAACATAGGAGGTCAAGAGCGGTATATGTCCAAAATTAGAGACTTGAAGGAGGGATGTCCAGTATTTAAAAACAACACATTAAAATTTTAAATTTTGGTCTTGACGTGCATGTTGGTCACTTGCTAATTGCATGGCAAAGCAACTCCCAGAAGAGGTATCTTTCTATGCGCAGTAAGGCCACGTGTTTCTGACATGTCCAGGTCCTTCCCCTGTTCTCCGTCAGGCAAAGACCAATCAAAATGGAACACAATGTTTGCTATCACAAGCTCATTTAAGGCCATTGCGAACTGTGTTCCAGGACACCCCCTTCTTCCTGCTCCAAATGGTATCAGTTGAAAATCTTGTCCTTTATAATCTACTGAGCTATTCAAGAACCTATCCGGTTCAAACTCTTGAGCATTGTCCCAATACACAGGATCTCTTCCTATTGCCCAGGCATTCACAATCACATGCGTCTTAGCACCAATGTGATGGCCGAGTAGTTTTGTGTCTTGCATGCTTTCTCGAGGGACTAGTAAAGGAATTGGAGGGTGTAGGCGAAGTGTTTCTTTCAGCACTGCCTTCAGGTAAGGCAGGTGATCTATATCCTCCTCTGTTATTATGTGTGATCTGTCTGCTTTCACATTTCTAACCTCGTCTTGCAGTTTCTTCATAGCACTTGGATGTCTTAACAACTCTGTCATTGTCCACTCTAGGACTGTGTATGTTGTATCCGCACCTGCAGCAAACATGTCCTGCAGAATCCAATTCACTAATAAAGTCAAGTCTTATGAACGACGAGATGAATAAAACAGAGTTTCTTGAAATATATGTAAGAGGGTAATAAATTGGGAAGGAGCAATGAAAAGAAATGTCTAGAAGAACTTATCAGTTGCGAATCAATTTTTATTCAATCACAGTGCTTCACGCAGAAAGTGGAAAAATGCATCTTTTGAAGAAAAAAGTAAACTTACATGTGTGTGTGTGTGTGTGTGTGTGTTTTCAACCAAAAAAATAAAATAAAAATGATATATAGCTGTCTAAAATAATTAGTTATATAATCATTGAAATATTGAGTTGATACTTCATGTTGGAATATTTCTGTTGACCCCCACAAATGACAGAACTGCGATGTATATATTTACCATTTAGGCCAAAATGCTAGGAGGAAACCCAACTTAGCTGTCTAGTTTCAATTCGTTAATCTACGGCACGACACAGAGAGATGGCACGCTTTTCGTTGAAAAATTAGAATATGAGGATTCTTACCAAGATCAGAGCCTTTATGACAGTTTTGTCAATGGGAAAGCCAATGGAATTTGTCCTTTGAATCGAAAGCAAAACGTCCACAAAATCATGATCGCCTTCAATACCAGTGGCACCGACTTCTTTTGAGTGGTTCATCATGTGCTCTTTAAGTACTTCCTCCAAAAATCGATCCAACTCTTGAGCCACTGCATGTGCTCTCGCATATAAGCCACTCGCATGACCAAGCCAATCAAGCCAAGGTACATAGTCCCCTACCACGAAACTGCCCATTAACTCTACAAACTTCTCAAGTAACTCCATAAATCTTCTCCCGCTTTCCTCCCCATATTTTCTACCCAAAGCTGCCCTGCAAATCACATCGTTCGTAATTGATGAAAATAACTCTCTCAAGTTCACCGATACGTTAGCAGAACAAGCGCGCTCAATCTTTTCCATTATCACGGCAGTTTCTTCCTCTCTCACATTGCGAAGGGATTGGACCCTTTTGTTACTCAGAAGGTGCAGCACAGATATGCTTCTTAGCTGCCTCCAGTATTCTCCATATGGAGCTGCTGCAACGTCCTTGCCATATAATAGTATATCAAACATTTTAATCTTGGGCCTACTTGCAAATACGAGATCATGTGTTTTCATGACCTCACGAGCAGCTTCTGCAGAAGAGACCACCAATACAGGTTTTTTCCCAAAATGAAGAAGCATCAAGGGGCCATACTTCTGAGCCAGAGAGCAGAGGGTTCGATGAGGATACGAACCTAGTTGATGGAGATTTCCTATGAATGGGAATTTTGGCGGAGAAGGAAGTGAGGTTTTGCTGATTGCAGGATTGGAATACCATTTGAATAGCGCAGTGAGGGAGATGGGTAAGATAAAAAGCAACGATGTAAGGAGCAACCAGGAAGTGTTGTCTTGCACTATGAGGCTTATCAGAAAACTCAGCATTTTTCTGTGTCTTCTCCGTGTTTGCTCACTTGAGATCCCTTTATGCGGTATAGCTGCCGCTTCTAATTACATGATAACTACAGAAATTTGTGTGGACGTCTGGACTATATAGTAGAATGGAGTTCAGGTTTGGCACTTATGAGCAATTTATACTCTAGATTTTAAGATTTTTATTTTATATTTATTATAAAAATTATAAAATTTTACTAAATCTATTTTATTATCAATTTAAACAATACAACTTTAATTTAAATGATTTAATTTAATATTAATTTTTTATAATTTTTATAATAACTATTCAGATATGCTTTGAATAGTCTAAATTTAAAATTTTTAAATTACAACTTTTTCTTAATTTTTTAAAGTTTCTTGAAGATTATCTTTATTTTTTTAATATTATATTTACTAAAATAAAAATTTTATAAAAAATTATTATTAAATTTAGATAATTTAAAATACATTTAGATAATTAATTTATAAATATAAAAAAATTTAATATTAAATTAGACCGATTACATTAACTATATATTATTCAGAGATCGATGATAATATAAAATAAAAAATACTAAAAACTCTTAAAATCTGGACGGTCCACTACGCGTGATAAGCACCCAAACCTAACGTGAGTAGAATGAGGGCTCAACCATTTTCAAATAAATCAACGGAATTTTGACATTAAATGATAGTTGACTTTTTTTTGCTAAATATCCTGTCATTTTTTTGTATGATTTTAATCCTTCCACTTCATTACGCATGACAAATGGCAACACTTGATCGTTTGTTGACAACCTTTATCTAAATACGAAAGAAGTGTTAGAAATTTATGTTGGATACTTGGATACGTTCCACGGAAACTAAAGACAAGTCACGAGTAAAACATGTAGCGTGTTTTGATTTCATAAGATAACAAAGGAGTTTAAGTGGGGTACGATAACACCTCAACAATAAATCATCCTCAATCGTGTGAGGCTGCCAAACTTTCACGCTGTACTCTGTTCCCACATGAACCATCATGGATTTTAAGCGAGATGTATAAGGATTACGATCTGATATTGGATCCATGCTCGTTCTTTTTCGCGGTTATTAGTATATTTTGAGATGATCGAACTTGAATTTCAGAATCATAGGAAATATATAATTACGTACGTACCCTTTGTGCGTGGTTAATGACGGTGGGATATGATAATTACAAAGAGTGGGATTGCATGTTTGCACTGGGAGAAAATTTAACAGCTCGCTAATATTAAACCCTTTATTTATGTAATTTTTGGGAATTTTTAAACTTAAAAATGTCAATTAATTGTGATAAATTAAAGGAAAATAATTAGCACCACTAAATTTGTGTCAAAATATAGGAAATGAATGAAAAGGACTCAAAAACGACATTAAAATAAGAGAATTGAGCTCAGGGCCCAAGAACTTTCATCTGTGGGTGGATGAAGCATGAAGAAACTCAACCCTGGTCGGATGAACAAAATTGCAGACCTGGTTCTCGCCTCAATTACGTCCGTGGGAGGATGAAACGTGAAGACGTAGGACCAGTCGCGGATGAAGATGGTGGTTCCCTATCTAATAGCTTATGGTGATCCCCTTAATTTTTAAACTTAAAAAATGTCAATTAATTGTGATAAATTAAAGGAAATTAATTCATATAGCATCACTATGTTATTATGTGTCAAAATATAGGAAATGAAGACAGGCTCAACAAAGCCACGGTCACTTGCGGATGCAAGCAATTTAGGGGCTCCCTTTGCTCTTATGCCGCGCGGGGATGGGACATCATGGGAGTGCTCAACGTACGATGAGAGTAGAGTTGAGTGAGGGTGGTTCTCGTCATGGAGAAATGGGCTTAGACTTGAGGGCAAAGGGATACTCTCCCTCTCCCATATTCCTACGCTTGCACAACATGAGAAAGCAGGAGGGTTTACTGAATATAGGAGGACACAAAATTTCACCTTTTTTTTTTTTATTTCTTCAAATACGAGGAGAAGCCACACCCACGTTTTTTTGTGGCTGGAAAACTCACGGCATAAAGACACTCTCGCCCTACGATCTCCACATCATTATGAGCAGGTAACACCATGACAACTCCAAACCAAAATTAGACGGCCTCGGATGAGTCAAATGGTCAAGCAAAACCGTGATGATGACGAAATCAGCGACCCTCTTTACCCTCTCCTCCTCCTCTGGAGCCGCGCCTTCGGTGGCTGCAAACAACTGAGAAAGCTAGTTTTCTTGGCAAACTAAATTAATTCTACTTGTATGCTACTATATTTTATAGTTTTTTTTCTCAAACTTAGCTTGCGCTAGCAAATTTTTAACATCATGATAAAATACCAAAAAAAAAAGTATTCATGTCTGTAAAAAAATAAATAATAAAGTCATCCATGTGAAAAGTTAAATTGTATCTTTAATATATTCCTTTTATCTTGATAGGTAAGATATTTTTAATTAAATTATATAAATCAATAAAATTTAATTGTCTAATTAAAAGCATAATAATATTTTAATTTTACCCCTAATTATTATAAATAAAAAATAAATATTTTTTAAATAAATTAATGAGAGTACTTATCTTTTTTTCTTTTCAATTTAATAAGAGTATAATAGTTCATTCATTAAAAAAATATACTAACAACCTTTTATATTTAAGAACTAAAAAATATTCTAGAAGATCTCTTATATATAGAGACTGAGGGAGTATCTTTTAAGAAATTGAGTTAAAAGTCAACTAGATAACACCAAAAATAAATAGTGTGCTTCCTCCATTAAAAAATATAAGATAATTTTAATCGAATCTTAATCCCAATAAAGTAATTATTTATTTTTAAACTGACCTTATTTTCTCATATTTACCCTTATCTAATAGGTGTTTCACCTTAAAATAAATATAAAATAGTTTATTTGATAGGAACACTTAAAAAAAAAAATCAATGACTACACTTTAAAAGAATGAAAATACCTCACATTTTTTAATATTGAGTCTTTTAAAAATGCCTTATATTTTTTAACAGAGGGAATACATATTTTTATTCTATGCAATTTTGATTATAAAGCTTTCTTTGAGTATAATTTTAATAATGTTGTGTTATTCTATAAAGCCACTGACAACTCCCTACTAACTTATGTAGCTTTTATGTGTTGAGACATACATACAATATTATCACTGCTGGCTTGACTGAGTTTATTAAAGAGGTAAATCTAATTTTAAGTGTTATCTATTTTTTTCTTGAAATTGCTAAGTTAATTGCCTTGTCCCTAACTTTTTCATGTGTTTAATGATCCGTTTTCATTTTCAAATTTAGAGATCCATAAAATTTGATAATGTTGGTGACTTTTCATGTTAAACCTTCAAATTAGACTCATTGACATGTAAAATTTTAATGTTTTCACATCAAAATTCCATGCTCACGAATAATTAGGATTCACGAGTAATTATTTTTTCATTTAGTTAGGATCTGTATGTAATTATTTAATTTCTTTAAACAAATTTGAAGAAAGCTGTTCTTGTTATTAGTATTTTCTATATATTTATACCATTTTGTGGTTTTAAATTTGTGAAAGGGAAACATGTTTGGAATAAAGTTGAAATATTCGGAGGGTAATAATAATAATAATGATGATGATGATGATGATACATTTAACGAGCCAGGTTCTACGGAACGCCAGTGCTGGAAGCGCATACGGAGGCTGGCTCTGTTGGAAACGTGGATGGCTCTAGGATCGTTCAATATAACGACCTCATTCCTCTTGTCATCACTCTTTTTTCTTTAATTTTTTTTTATTCACCCGGATCCAATGCTTTCCCATAAGAAATTGCAATTAAATTATATTTTTTTTTGTTTATCTCAAATTCACTCTTAATTGATTTTTTCAACCTACTCGAAATACGTATTAAAAAAGAAATTGTGGTTACACTTGGAATTGTACTGGACCAGCATTGAGGGAATTTTTATTTTTTATTTTTCACATTTTGACCAAAAGAAGTCGAAGTTTTTATACTGAATGAATTACGGGGAAAATATATACGATGAGATGCAAGAAGGCTCTCCCAGGAATTGGGGAAGAACTGAAGTGTCTGAATCCATTTAAATAGACTCCCTTCTCATCAACCCCACTTCCACATCCTTACGCAAACGACAAACGGAGACTCGCGCTTCTTTCATTGTCAAGCTTCTCCAACACATTTTGCTCTCTCCGATTTTATTATCACAGGTACGTTCGTCTCTTTCTCTGTCCTTTTCTCCCCTCGATTTTATCTGCTGGGTTCATTGTACCCCTCTTTGTGTCTCTGGTTATTTTCAATTCTCGCTATTAGCAATTACCAGATTTCTTTCTCCTCATCCGTAGTTTCATTTATATGTATCTGTGTTATCAATTAATCCCGCCTGCTGCTTATTGATCGGGAGCAAATATTAGGTTCTTCCTGGAGTCCCCCCCCCCCGCCGGCGGGGGAGTTACTCTTATATTTCAATATTCTGTGACTTCGACTTTATTTGTCTTCATTTTTTCCCCAAACAAAACTCTATTTCTGTTCTGTCCTTTAGCGATTTCTCCTTTTTAATGCCCATTACTTTTTGCATTGCTTTCTTTCCTAAAAAGGACAGCGGGCAATTAGATTTAGGTTCGACGGATTGCGGTTTATTTGAATTTCTTAATTTGATTTGCATATTTTGGTGGGATGATATGTTGAATTGTTGATCACGAACAGCTGTGTGATTAGGGTCATTGTCTCATCTGTTAGCACCCAAAGGATTTGTTGGAGAATGCCAGAATGTGTTGTTGCTAACCGTCAAGTTTTAATTCTTCAAATGTACGTCTAATTTCATTCAATACACGAACAATCACAAGTCTTCCATCCTTGTTCCCAGAAACCTGACTGGGTTAAGTGATAACAGGAAGCTTAAATTAAAGCACGAGAATGTAGAAAAAGGTCTGAATTACTCAATAAGAGTGGCATCTGCCTTAACCATAAATTTTTCTTGCCGGTAGGCCTAAAATTTGTTTTGCATTCTCGGGTCATTCGGATTGCCTAATACTTCTGTTTGTTCTTGTTTACATTCTTCACGATAACTACTGACATTTCTGTAAATTGAACGGTGGCTTTTCTTGTTAATTGTTGGATGATAGCTAAGTTGGCAGGATGAGATGAGCGCTTCTTGCCTGATTTTGTTTTTTAATACACTTCAAAGCACTTCAGTTCTTGGCTGACATTAAATTTATACTTTGTCAGGAACTTGTAGAAGTATGAACCATGGGTACTTATAATGGACTAGCCATTTCACAAGGGAGAGAACCTCTCTTTTCATTTGGATTGATCTCTGATGTCCAGCATGCTGACATTCCCGATGGACGCTCCTTCCTTGGAGTTCCTCGGTATTATAGGCATAGCATTCTTGTATTACAGAGAGCAGTGAAAAACTGGAATGATCTGCAGCAGCATAAGTTTGTGATAAATTTCGGGGATATTGTCGATGGATATTGTCCAAAAGATCAATCTTTTGATACCGTAAAGAAAGTTGTGAATGAATTTGAGATGTTCAAGGGACCCGTGTATCATATGATAGGCAATCACTGTCTATACAACCTTCCTCGCAGCAAGTTACTTCCGTTATTGAAGATTCAGAGTCCTGAGGGCCATGCTTACTATGATTTTTCTCCTGTGCCAGGATATAGATTTGTAGTTCTGGATGGTTATGACGTTAGTGCCATCGGCTGGCCTCAAGATCATCCAAGAACATTGGAGGCCTTGAAATTCCTCCGACAACATAATCCAAATGCAGATAAGAACAGTCCAATAGGTTTAGAGGGGCTTGAAAGGAGGTTTCTCATGTTCAATGGAGCTGTTGGAAAGGAACAGATGGAATGGCTGAATGGTGTTCTTCAGGAAGCAACTGAATTGAAACAGAAGGTGGTGGTCTGTTGCCATCTGCCTCTGGATCCTGGGGCCTCAACCGAAGCGGCACTATTATGGAACTATGATGAAGTAATGGATTTGATACACCGATATAATTGCGTCAAGGTCTGTCTAGCTGGACATGATCACAAAGGTGGATACTCTATTGATTCTCATGGAGTGCATCACAGAGTTCTTGAAGCTGCCTTAGAATGTCCTCCCGGCACAGATGCGTTTGGATATGTTAATGTTTATGATGACAGGATATCACTTGTTGGCTTGGCAAAATGGAAAGTGTAGACATGTATTTTAATCCTCAAGCAGATTTGTCATGACAGCAGGAAGACATCAATTGTTTATAATATATTACATGGTACTGGCATCTTATTGTAAGTCCTACTTTGTGGGAAATTTTATATTTCTTTATAGCTATCAAGACTTTCATTTTGATTAATGGTGAAACGGCCACTTTCTGTCCAAGTTTTCCCTTCGTAATAATTAGAGTTTACTTGACATTGGATTTTCTGGGACTACACCCTAACAATTAAAAACAAACACAGCTTTGCTCGTGAAATATATATATATATATATATATATATTTATTTATTTATATAATACTTTTTCTGTAGGTGGTTGTGACATTGAACACATCAATATTGTAAGATCTCTTGTACCATTCTCTAGTTAACTCTAATTTTAAGAAAATCAAGGAATTAATTTCAAATAAATATTTTCAAGTTGTAATATTATCAAAATGAGATCTCAAGTTTTTTGAGTTTTTCAACATGATATAGCATCTTTACAAATATAAGTTAAAGTGCAAACGGAAGGATGAGAATTCACAAAAAAGTCAACATTTGTATAAGAGTTGAAAATAGTAAAACAGTGTAGAAAACATACATGTGCCACGGCATTGCACGTTTTGATAACTTTGCTGTTGTCAAATGACAGCAGCAAAAGTGAACTTTCGACGCACTCTATTTTTATGTTTGACGTTTGATTGAGACGATCTATGTGTCTACAAAGAGAGCTTTCTCTTCTAATTAATGGCATTGATTTCATAATTAAACTAATTCTCAGTAAAAAAAATTGAATATCAATTTCACAATTAACTCCTTTTCACAATTAAGCTCATTTAAAGTATCATAATTTCATACCAAGTGTCAAAAGCCTTAAATACAACCTAGATCACGCTTAATAAACTAATACGTACTTGTGCAATACATCACATCACACACTTAACGCTTTAAACACGTTTTACAGCACTCAACCCCTTAATCACAAAAACAAAAGGGGGAGTCACAATACAATAATCATCATAATCATTAAACATCAATTATACTTTTACCCACTTATTATCTGTACTAGTATTTTGGCCCTTTTCATATTTCATAATCCACATATATACTTCACTTAGGGTCTAAAATACATAGTTTAATTTTAACCAACACATAATGCAAGTAAGTGCATAGATAAACTCCTAGTTAGCAATATCATCACTGATTATACATGTATGATACTCAAAATAAAATAGGCCTACAATTTTAGGATTGAAATCCTAAGCTTCGTTATATTTTTCCCTAGTCTTGCTTCGATGAACTAGTTCTTGTAATATTAAAGGGAGGAGAATGAGTATAATCACTTAATAACCAAGGTCTATCTAACTCATACTAACACATGTCAATCAATTTAAATAAAGTGGCAATATAATTTCATACACATATCAATTTAATCATTTTCAGGCCTGTATTTACATTTTACATCATTAAAGAGCATACATCCATGTAGTGACAACACATATAGCTCATTTCCCATTGTTACACAACTAGTCACACATTTTCATTACAAAGGTCACAACACAGACAATCATATATCCTTTTTATCATATATATATAATCACACCTCTCTTATATCCTTCTTATGCCTTGACACAAAACTGTGGGTTAGAATACACTGAGATTATTTATAAGATGAGATTGCCTTAACCATTCATGCATGAGAGGCTACCCGCTTAAGGTTGCCTTACTCACTTGTGAGTCATAGTTTCCCTAAAATCTTGCATTGTGAGGTGTTATCCTCCTCAAACTAGCTTTCTCGTCGAACAAGTAAAAAATTAGTTAGGTTCAAATCCCTCTTAGAATAAGTAAGACAATCCCCTATCGAACAAGTGGGACAATAAGTATAAACAAATCCAGATAAACCATCAAGCTTTGATAGAAGCCTTACCATCTAGATTTTAAACTCACTACTCCTCCTCTTAGATAAGCTCTCATCTCTCATGATCATGCAAAGTATGAAGATTCAATATTTCATGTCATACAAATACTCAATGTTCATGCATATATGATATCATCATTGTACTCGAGTAATGAATGTACGTCACATAAAACATGCATAACCAAGTTATTGCACTCCACTTTACTTATCATCGAACACCTCACTATACATTTTCGTTGAACTCCACAAAACAACAAATTATTGAACGCTACAAAAGTTATTTCATAGAACTTCAAATAAAACATGTCATTGAACTTTGTAAACACTATTTCATTGAATTTTACACACATCAAGTCATTGAATTCCAAAAAACATAATATTTGATTTCCAAATATTTTACACCATGCTTGCATTTCAAGTAATTTCACACATTTCAATTATAATATATAAACCAATAAATCAATTAACACACGTCATGTTTGCATGTCAATTAATTTCACACATTTCAATTATAATATATAAATCAATAAATCAATTAACACACAAAAATATAAGAGATTTCTCCCGATTATCTTAAACTTTTGAGAGGTTAAATATTTTATCCCTCAAATACACACTTTCAAAGCTTTCATGAAACTTGAATGGTGCCAAATATGCTCACTTTACATTTAACCACAGTATTAATCATCAATATCCCCCTTTTTTAAATAATTTTTACTATTTAATTCAACACTTCAACACTTTTAAGATTCAATCCCTTCACATATAAGGGTACTTATAAGGTTTATTAACTTACTCTAACTTCTATTAACTTCATGGAACTCCAATTAACCATTAATGGAGTGATATTACTCCAACCATATTATTTATAGTGAAATTTCAGGTATGTATTACCTTACAACTACTAAAACTCACAATATCATAAATGATAGGTTTAAATAGCTCAAACAATTTTTATTAACTCTATTTAAATCAATGGATTTAAATTCATAACCTCAATGGATTGAAAATCATCTTTCTCAACTAAACCTTAACTTTCAAATTCAAGAAAATACTAGAGGAAGAGAGGGAAAGGGCTTAGGAGTTTTACTTTTAGTAGTTGAAGCTTCAAAATACTCCTAATGCCTTCAAATCTCAAGCCTTAGTAGAGGTTTTCACGAACTTCTTACGTTTCTTCATTTTTGCTCCCTCTTTCTATGTTTTTTGAACTTTGATACTCTTTATTTTTGAAAATTTGTCACCGTGTGTCACGGCACATGTACCACACATCGTGGCATGTGGTATAAAGAATGAATCTTCATGCTCTAATGGCTTGTGCGCTATGGGATGGCATGCATGCACCGCGGCATGTGGCAGAGTCATTATTTTTTGTTTTTCCTGCTTTTTAAAATCTTGGTGACTTTGACTTTGGACTCAATCTTAGAATTGAAATCACAACCTAGAACATCTGTTAATTTTCTGACCATATACTACATTAATTTATTTAATTAACTTTATTTGCTCAGTTAATTAAAGATTAAATTCTTTAAGACGTTACAAATATGGTTATATACTTATATCAAATGCTTTAAGATACCCAATCCAAATCCCTTATTTTTTAGGTTCTGGCCAAGCAACCGACTTAATTGAGCAGTGTTATAGTTTCTGATCGAAATTCAACGTTTGATGCGTCACAGATCCCGCCAACTGGCAAATAACCTCAAAGTCAACTCCCCACCATGAGAACGTGAACTGGTTCTGCTAGACAGTAGACACTCAGGCTGGTTGAATACATTGCTTAAGAAATTAAAAAAACGTAAGCCTCTTCCCCCATATGTTAAGTCGGATAGTGTCACTTACATTATCTGTGTAATCTAATAATGCTGGAATGAGATAGTAATTGAGGAAAGAATAAAAGCCAGCAGCCGCGTAATTTTAAATCGCAATATATAGTTAACTCCATCCCCTTCTCAAATCTATGATTTATTTTAAAATAGTGCAGAATAAGTGGGCATGAACAAGCTAGCAATAGATGAGTCCGCTAGAAATGATGACAACTCAGAGAACTCAACATCGTAGACAAACAAGTAAAAATAAGAGTGGCATTCTATCTCTTAATTATTTCTTCATATATCCTAAAAATATAGACAACAACAATGGAACACCACCTTAATTCCAAACAAGACCATTCTGCCTTCCCGAACAAAGGCCGTTTTGGTATGGGTGAATACAACTAGAAGGGGCTTATATAAGCTTGAAAGGAAAACCAATACTGCATGTCGTTTTACCTATGAACACACTATTGACCCGTCATCTCTATCTTGGGTTGGGAAACCTTAGCCTTCCTCTTCTCAATGTAGAAGAAGACGAAGAGGGACACCACAGAGAAAGCGCTGAAAACAGCCGAGCAGATATCCAGGGACGCGTGGCGTCCGCTGATTCCGAGGACTTGGAACAAATTTTTGGTCTTCCCGGTGTCCGTGGTCTGACCATAAGCCACCTCGTGGTCGGCGGCGTCAAAGGCGTAGGCGCGTACGAAGTACGTGGCGGTGGGCACGTCTTTCTCTACAGTCCACTCGAAGCTCTGCGCGGTCGTGTTGGAGGCATCGTAGGGTCTGGATACGATGACGTGCTGGCAGGTCTTGTCCCTCGAGAGCTCCTCCTCCGTCTTCCTCCAAGCGCGATCTTTCTGGCTGATAGGCGCGTAGCACAGCTTCACCTTGATCTTCTTGTAGGCAGAGTCCGTGCCAGCCGGTAGGGTTCTGTTCAAACCCCATGTCACTTTGATTTTAGCTTCTCCAGCTTCCAGAACTGCCAAGTGATTACATGATCAGCGTGAATTCAGTTAATTATGATAAATCCGAAATGGAAAGAATGGAGACTTAACGGAGAGTTTGAAGAATACAAGGTTGGGAATGGGGATTACCTTGGCCCTGTGTAGGTGAAGCGGTAACGTCAAGGGTCTGTTTGAGGGAAGAGAACAGGCGGTTGCCATAACAAGATCCTGTTAAAAAGCAAAGGAGGAGAGACGCAACCACGAGCCCACGTGCTTCCATATTGGCTTCCAAGTTGCAGGAATCCGAGTGATAGAGGCAAAGGCGGATTGGAATTGTGGGGAATGCAGGGTTCGCCTCATTTTATATAAGTTGCCGAACCCTCTGTTAAATAATCCGTCAGATTCAGATAACGCCAAGCATCAAAGTCAAAGGCCCCAATGGCTGCGAACGGTAAAGCATGTAAAAGTGGCCTTTGATCAGGTGCTAGGGTCGCTGCTTAAATTAGCACGACCTAATTGTGCCATTACTTTATTAGAGCGGAATTCTCCTCTGTTATTATGTTATGCTCCCTCCACCATAGAATATTTTTTTAAAAAAAATTATTTTAAAATATAAAATATTTTAAATATATTAAAATTTTATTAAATGTATCAATTTTAATATTATTTTTTATAATTATTTTTATTATTTTTTAATATATTAAATTATGAATATTTTAAAAAACTTATATTTTTATTTTAAAAAAATAAAATCATTAAATATATTTAATAAAATTTATTAATATATAAAATTTTATTTAAAAATATTTTATAATTCAGAACGGAGGAATTATTTTTGAACCAAATAACTTATTTGAATACAATTCAGACTACTGTATCTGAGACTACAGCTTTGTTGAGTTTTATTTATTGCTTTTGTCGTTCCCAATTGTTTCTTTTCCTCTAGTAGTTGGTTCTAACTTCTAAGTAAGTTTATCCAAAAACAAATAAATGCTCCCTCCCTTCCAATATATTTAGTGGTTTTTATAAAATTAAATTCAATTTATGATTTTAATTTCTATAAATTTTTAAAAATATCCTTTATCAATAAGAGAAATTGAAAGAAATATATTTAAAGAGTGAAATAATTGAGGGTAATATTGAGATAATAATCATTAATTAACAAAATCTTATTTTTTTCAAAATACCAAAATACTAAATCACCTCAAGAATATCTTATAAAAGAGGAAAGGGGACTAGATTGAATCAGACGGAATGAAATCAACTTGAAAGAAATAAAAAAACTCTTCTTTAAATAAGATTAGGTTTGATAATTATTATGCTAAAATTAACTAGACTGATCTGATTTTTGGTTTACTCCAATTTCACTCGGTTTAAACCTAATCAAATCACCCAAAAAGAATAGTTTTGATTTATATTTTGGGAATATTGACCAAAATGTCATCATTTTTTCTATACTATATAATATATATCATGCAACCGTAAGGATATTTTATAATGATATACAGATAATAAAACTTGACGTTAATAATGGGTTGTAAAAATTTTAGTTATATTTTAAAAAAATTGATGTCCACAAACATTGTTTTATATTTTTTTAAAAAGGTCTTTGACATGGAATTAGTAGTAACAGTAATAATAACAATGGGGAAATTGATAAGGAGTTGACTCGTTTTTTCCAAAGAAATAGGTTTAAATTTCACTCTTTATATAAGAATTAATTTGTTGATAGATAGTAATTTGTAAGTAAGTTTTTAAGTATTCTTTGAACCATGAGATATACCCTAACCTTGAGAGGTCTTGTCATAATTCGATTCAACCTAAAATTTTTTAATAAAAAAATATTGAAGTGTATAAAATTATTTTTTTTTTTAAAATCTAATATAAATTAAAATTTAATTTATTGACAGTTATAATATTTTGAAAAATCAAGTTAAATCCAACCAAACATGAATCAAATAGATCCATAAATTCACTAAATGAATCCGGTTGGTTATGCTTGATTGATGTAAACGCCAAAAAAAAAAAAAAGCTCGATCAAAGTCTGATTAATTATTGAGGTTTTTTAATTTTTTAAAAAAGATGAATGATTCCGTACAGTTCCTCCCTTCTCATATAGTAAAGTATTCAAGTACATGTTTCGTCCCCACATGTCCAAGAAAGGGCAAAGGAACAAAGCAACGGGGATTGGAAAAGCCGGCACGGCTATCCAGTTCTGGAAAAGCCAACACAGCATAGAGAGAATTTTCCTACTTCATCCGTCAACTTTAAATTTAGCTGTTTACGCTCCACAACTCACAACTTGGTTGCCCTCCTTACTCATCGCTCAACAATTTGTCAATTTGTGACCCAAGTTGCTCGACATCATAAAAATTGAGCCAATATTATATTATTCACCTTCCAAATTTTTCGCACTGCTCAATGTGAAATAAGCCCGGATATATGCAACACAATCTGACGTCGACTCTCTTGCAGCAACTCCTTCCTTGATACATGACAGCTCTGTTCTTTTAATCTACTCCATTTGCTTCTTCTACATCTAAAATTCTGCTGAATTTTTGTCTTCTTGGAAGGGTTCTAGATTACTAGAATTGAGCGTAAGTTTTTCCAAATTAGATCACTAGATTATATCCATAATACATAGAAATCAAGGAAGGGATAAAATAAAGCAACCCAAGAACAAGAAATGAATCGTGAGCGTAACGCCGGGCATCATATCATCGCAAGAAGCTTAATCCTTCTTTGTATGTGGTATATTCTACGAACTTTCTCGCTTCAAAGTTAAAACATATACCCACCTTCTTCCCTTAGGATGAGCAAAGGTAAATTGAGGAGGGGAGAGGGGGGAGGACGGAATCAGGTTGAGATGACGAAGACGTGGCAGAGGACATCAGAACCTGTGCCGGATTTCACCGATATCATGAACGAAACGTTCTTCGGGACAGCTAATCTGGAAAGCAAAACCTACGATCTTGCAGGTCGGCAACCAAGGGTTTCAGCAGATATGAGCATTGGCTTCGACGACATTACTAGAAGTAATAGTGGCATGTTGACGCAAGAATGGTTGGAGGAGGCTCGTCGTGTTATGGCGGCGTCTCCGGCACGCTATTTCGGATCCCCCAGATTTGCTGCCACACAGCAAGCATCCTCCCCGCTTCCGTATCTGGAAAGAGACCTGCTTTCGAGGTCCGCCCGAAGGTATTATCTATCATTCATTCCTATGTCTCTCAAGGCTCGACTGTTTTTCATCAAAAATGGTTCATGCTGGTCCCTACCACTCAGAAGTCAAAAGAAATCTATGAAATTTATAACATCAATAATCGATCTGGGAAAATTATTATTTAACTCTACTTTAATTGAATATTAATGTTTATATGTTTTGTCAAACGTATGTTTATGCTTTAGAGTCAAATAATAAGGTACACTTGATTGATCTGCAAATGATAGTAACATATATATATATATATATATAGACACATAGTATAGTGATGTGTAAGCCTTATAATATTCTAATATTCATAAATCTGCTTAATTAGGAAGTAACTAGTAAAGCCATGGTAGCTTTTTAAATGTGACATTCATCATTTATGACCAAATTTTGCAAAAAAAAAAAAAAAAACTTTCATGATATAATAATTTTTAAAGAATTATTATTTATTTTATTATACTTTCATTGTCTAATTTTTTTAAGGCTAGCTAGCAATAATAAAACTATCATAAAAAGGAAGGAAATAATAATTGATGATAATGGGAGCATAGAATGGACTAATGGTGCAACAACAAAAATATTTAAAGTTCCCAACTTACTTAATAACCTTTCATAACTAATCTCTCTGAAGTCTTGATTAAGATATCAGCTTGCTACTTCTCAGGGAGAACATGTTGTAGAGTAATCAAACCATATTATAACTTTTATCAAACAAAGTGACAATTGATTTCAATATGCTTCGTCTGCTTGTAGAAGACGGGATTAGTGGTTATTTAAATTGCAGCCATATTATGACACATAATAGTAATAGGCAAAATATTTTCATTCCTAAATCTTTCAATAATCCACTAAGCCAAACAATTTCTGCAACTACACTTCCTAGTGCACGATAAACAACCTTTGCTAATGACTTTGAAATTGTGGTATGCTTCTTTGACTTCTAAGCTATGAAAGCTCCACCCATTTTAACGAGATAGCCAGTCACCAACGTCCTCGTTTTTGGACAAGTAGACCTATTAGAATCACAATAACTAATTAATTTCATTCCTCCATCATAAGGAAGAAAACACCGACACCCTAGGTCCTTCTTAATGTATCTCACGGTGTTCATGGTTGCCTTTATATGAGACTTTCTTGGATCACTTACAAATTGACTAAGCACCTGCACTGCATAAGAGAGATCAGGCCTTGTAACAGCTAGGTAAAGCATCTTTCCAATAAATCTTTTATCTCTAGTTGGATCTTTTAACCTTTCATCTTTCTCCCCCTCTTTTACCTCACTGTACAATCTCAATCTTGGAACTATAGGAACATGTCTAGGCTTTGAAGCTCCTAAACTAGTATCGGCAAAAAGGTCTAAAGCATTTGTTTTTTTTTAGTACTAAGCCCTTATCAGACATAGCAATCTCTATCCCTAGAAAGCATCTTAGAATGCCCAAGTCCTTCATTTTTAAATTGTTTTGCAAGTACTGTTCAGTTAGCAATCTCTATCCCTAGAAAGCATCTTAGAATGCCTAAGTCCTTCATTTTTAAATTGTTTTGCAAGTACTGTTTAGTATCTTGAATAGCAACATCGGAATTTCTAATGATTACCAAATCATCAACATATGCCAAGACTATAACAATATCATTTTCATTTCATTTCATTTGATGTAAAATGAATTGTCATGCTTACTCTATGAGGAACCGCCATTAGTAAGAGCATCAGAAAGTTTGATATTCCACTGCCTTGTGGCTTGTTTGAAACCATATAATGATTTTATAAGTTTTCAAACTTTGTTCTCCCCCTTTTTACCAAACCCCTGAGGAATGCGCATATATACTTCTTCTTCTAAGTCCCCTTGTAAAAAAGCATTATCAACATCCATTTGGTAAATATTTCATTTATTCTTTATAGCTAAAGCCAACACAAACCTAACGGTAATCATTTGATAATAGGAGAAAAAGTATCAAAATAATATGTATCTTTAATCTGACTATAAGCTTTAACTACCAAACGTGCTTTTAATCTATTTAATGATCCATCAGCGTTACATTTGGCCTTAAAAACCCACTCACAGCCTATAAGTTTCTTCCCTAGAGGTAATTTTACTAATTCCCAAGTTTAGTTTCTTTCTAAGGCTACTACAAGAGATAAATTCTTTATAATGAGGTGAGATATTTGTATAACCGACCCTATGCTGAATAGGATGAAGAATCTTCCTTTGACCTGCCTTATTTGTGCTATTTATTTTAGCTAAACTTGCACAGTCATAATCTTTCAACCATTCTGGAGGTTTTCTGTCCCTTACAGGTCTAGAGGCTTTGCTAGACTCAGAAATGAGTTGATTTACAGGTAAGGTGCACTTTCTTGTGACAATATGAACACTCCTCAGCAGAATTTCCATGACCACTACCTCGATTTCCTCTTCCTCGCCCCCTAATCAGCATAGTTGAATTTTCAAAGGAAGGGGGGATTGCTCTGCTGATAAATGACGTTGAGCCTCTTCCTGACAAATCATTGAATATGCTTGATTTACTGAGGCAATGGAGTCATGAGAAGAATTAGGCTTCGAACATCTTAGTATGAGTCATTTAACTGCATCAAAAACTGAAAGAGTTTTTGTTGATATGTGATCTTGACGAACTCTGTGAGGAGGAGCATTTGCAATTTGGAATTGAAACTGAAGTGCCGTATTCCTCCCATAGTTCCTTTAATCGTGTGAAGTAGTTTGAAAATGAGAGAGACCCTTGTGTGGTAGTGGAGATAGACTGATGCAAACCGTATATTTTTACTCCATAGGTAACGTCGAACTATTCCTTCAAATCTCCCCAAATCGATTTGGCGCTTTCATAAAAGGTTATAGATGCCGCTATTTCTTTTGAAATAGAATTAAGCAAGACATGAGTATATCTAATCTACTGTATCTTCAAGTTCAATTAAATTTGAGTATATCTTCTTCATGCAGATACAGGAAGAAACAAAAGCGTGTTGACTTAAAAGCCTTAAAGAAATTTGAAAGGGCTTTTCTATCTTCACAGTCATGATCCACCAATTATTCATCGGGATATGGAAATTAAGGTGAGGTGAAAATTGGTGACTTGGGACTGGCAGCCATTCTTCAGCAAGCCAATTCAGCTTATAGTGTCACAGGTAACATTTTTATATGTGTGCATGTTTTGGATGGTTAACTACTGTGGGATCATTAATTTAACTCAAGGCATCTGTAGTTCATATTATGAGCTCAGGTACTCCAGAGTTTATAGCCCCAGAGCTCTATGAAGAGGAATAGAATGAGCTGGTTGACATTTATGCTTTTGGCATGCTTGCTAGAATTGGTAACCTTTGAGTACCCATATGTTGAATGCACAAATGCCGTAAAAGTGTACAAGAAAGTTATATCTGTTAGTGCTTTACAATCTCTGGACTATCTCACATGTCATTTGACACTAACATTTCAGTCTTTGTCTATTTTGAGTGTGTTATTTGTCAATTCCTTTCAACAACAATGTGTAGCTCAGATTTCTCAAACCATTTATCTCTGACTTGATTTTTTTTAATCTGGTATGCTAGATATAAAATAATTACCGCCGTCAGATGTCTTCATAAATGATGATTTTGTTGGATCTATGTTCCATATCATCATGATTTGTATTTTTCTTTTCATGGTAGGGAATAAAGTCAGCATCTTTGGCAAAAGGGATAGATTTTGGGGTTAAAGCATTTGTATTAAAGTGTACCTACTAAGGATCTCTTAATGGATTCCTTTCTTCATTTAGACAAAGATACTAAGGATATAGGTCATTTTTTAAAGCCTAAAACTCACCATTCAAGTAAACATTCTTAGCATCTAAATTTCCTACTGCTTGATTCTTTTTACTATTTGATTTACTATTTCTGTAGAGACAAGTAGGGAATTTAGAGTGGAAAGTCAGCGGAGAGATGTTAATACAATATTTCTGAAACTGAGACTAGTAGACTTCTGAGGTTTTCTTTCACATTTACACACAAAATTGTTTGATTTAAATATCTATTATTTTTTTCTCTCTTGTGTATCTAAAATAGCTGCTGCTTATGTGGAATTAGGTCATATTTGCAATACCCAAGCCAGTGGTTAGAAACTCTTTGTTAAGGCCCATTGCTTCTAACTTGACCTCTGAAGTGGATGTGGGGACTGAGGAAGGTAACTTGACAGGAAATGGTGCTTACCTCAGTTCATCAGCAGGCTAATAACTGTACTGATGATGGTAATTGTAGTTCAGGAAACAAATCTAGGGGGATTGCTGATTTTCATTCCATTGCGAGAGGGATTACATCTAAGGATTCAAAAGTAACTGAGGGAGAATCTTCTCCAGAAGCAAAATCTGGTACATTATGCGATTCTGAATTAGAAAATGTCAACTTAATTGCCATAAAGCTAAAAAATTGTTGACAAGGCAGCAAGAGGACATAGAGAAACTAAAGAAGAAGCATGAATTAGCTGTCTTAGACTTTCTGAAGAAGCTTCCATTTGAAGTGTGGCAGCTGGTTTTAAATATATATATATATATATATAACCATGAGTTACCTGACAGTGCAACTGCACAGAGACTTGAGGCCTTCCCCCTCTGCTTAATGCGTGTCTGTGAGGTTTCTGGTACTTCAGGCCCCATCCTCATCAAGAAAGCTCTCATTAGAAGTAAGTGAAATTCTGAAAGCTTAGAACATTGTGTGTGTCATATTTAGAATCTTGGGTTTCCTAGCGTCAACATTTTAGGTTCATCCATCAACGATTGAAAGACGGCATGACTAACGTTATTTCTGATGGCATGAGTATTGTTGGCATCATGTTAAAGGACAAAGCAGAGAAGTCAAAATATGAAGTCATTTCCACCGAGATTTACTTCACGGAGTGCTTAAATCTGTGCACAAAAGCATGACGGTGTGATGAGAAATTGCTCTTGACATTGAAACATCAAGATCTCACCCATCTATACTTTGATACTGACTCTAGCCATTCAACTAGAAACTGTATATTTGTATATATGCTCACCGACAATTCTTTAAATATTGGGTAAATTTAGTGGAGGTCCTATGGTTGGTGTTACATATGTAAGTGAAACTTTAGGACACTTCCTTTGGGTTTAATCTTCAAGTAAATGCTAGTGACGATGACCGTGGCATTTTCATTATTTTTTTATATTATGCTTCAAGATTTTGTGGGGGGTTTTGTATGGTTGATTCTACTTCCAGCAAGGCTCTCCAATGTGGAGATGTCAATGGAATTCATGTCAAGATCACCTACCAGGACTCATGTTATTTCACCTTTTGTTCTTAATTGATAACGATATAGCTCATTGAACATCTACAGGAAATTTTTCAGCCTCAAATATTTAATCAGACAGGTCTAATTTAAATGAATGAAAGCATAAATACTTTGTGCTCCAATCACTTGAGAATATAAATAAAATAAACAGAATCGGAAACATTAAAAAAAAAAAAAAAGCTTTCTTGAACTTGATCACTCGAGAATAATTGTTAATACATCTTTGGGAAAACATTATTTATCCATTAATGTATTCCAAAATACACTTTTTAAAGCCATTGGTTAATGCCATAAAAAATATGGAAAAAAATAAAGCAATTTTCCAAAACATGAAAGTTGTTTTCCTTCCGAATACATTTTGTGGTTTGTGAGTAGGACACGTCATTAAGTAAATAAAATTGCACAAAAATTCCATACTCCACACGGACCACGGCCATGTTTGCACAGAAGGAGAGTCCCTCCCAAAATGAGGCAGAAACGGATAGAGGCGACATGAGGTCCTCTTTTATTCTGCCACAGATAACAAAATCCTGAAATCGTCATCCCCTTCCCCTATCTTCTCCAGTTCTTCTCCTCCCTCCCCCCACACCATTCTCTCTTCTCTCCCAAGGACTCTCCAATGGCAATTTCTTCAGCAACAGCTTCTGCTTCCTGCAAGCTCATATTCTTTCATCCCTCTCCCTCTCCTTCCTCCTCCCCCTCCCCCCCTCTCTCTCTAAACCCCCACAAACTCACATCCCCCACATCCCATCTCTCCTCTTCCTTCATTAATCCCTCCACAATCCTCCACCTTTCTCCCTCCTCCACCGCTACTCGCCACCGCTCCTTCACAATCCGAGCTGCTCGTGGCAAGTTTGAGAGGAAGAAACCCCATGTCAATATCGGCACCATTGGCCATGTCGACCACGGCAAGACCACTCTTACTGCTGCTCTCACCATGGCCTTAGCGGCTCTGGGAAACAGTGCCCCAAAGAAGTACGATGAAATTGACGCTGCCCCTGAAGAGCGAGCTCGTGGAATCACCATTAACACTGCCACTGTCGAGTATGAGACTGAGAATCGCCATTACGCCCACGTCGACTGTCCCGGTCACGCCGATTATGTCAAGAACATGATTACCGGCGCTGCCCAGATGGACGGCGCAATTCTCGTTGTTTCCGGCGCTGACGGTCCAATGCCGCAGACTAAGGAGCATATACTTTTGGCTAAGCAAGTCGGTGTTCCAAATATGGTCGTGTTTCTGAATAAACAAGACCAGGTTGATGACGAGGAGCTTCTGCAGCTTGTGGAATTGGAGGTTCGTGAGCTTCTTTCTTCTTATGAATTCCCTGGTGATGATGTTCCCATTATTTCTGGTTCTGCTCTGCTAGCTTTGGAGGCATTGATGGCGAATCCTGCCATTAAACGAGGAGAAAACCAATGGGTCGACAAAATTTATGAACTTATGGATTCTGTGGATAGCTACATCCCGATTCCTCAGCGTCAAACTGATCTTCCTTTCTTGCTGGCCATTGAAGACGTGTTTTCAATCACGGGTCGTGGGACGGTGGCCACAGGCCGGGTCGAGAGAGGTACAATTAAGGTTGGGGATACTGTAGATATTGTTGGTGTAAGGGAAACTAGAAATACAACCGTGACTGGGGTAGAAATGTTCCAGAAAATTCTTGACGAGGCCATGGCTGGGGATAACGTGGGGCTGTTGTTGAGAGGTATCCAGAAGATTGATATTCAGAGAGGGATGGTTTTGGCCAAGCCAGGCACCATTACTCCGCATACTAAGTTCGAAGCAATTGTTTATGTCCTGAAGAAGGAAGAAGGAGGGAGGCACTCACCATTCTTTGCTGGTTACAGGCCACAGTTCTACATGAGGACTACTGATGTGACTGGGAAAGTGACTGCCATAATGAATGATAAGGATGAAGAGTCAAAGATGGTTATGCCTGGAGATCGTGTTAAGATGGTTGTGGAACTTATAGTCCCTGTGGCTTGTGAACAAGGAATGAGGTTTGCTATTAGAGAAGGAGGGAAGACTGTTGGAGCTGGTGTCATTCAATCCATCATTGAGTGAGTGCTTGGGCATTGACTCTTCAAGTGGTGGAGATCTCACTATTTACAGTTTATGCGATTACTTTTCCATTTTACACGAACTGATGCCATATCCAATTTCTTGTATTTTGTAGGTCTATCCTTTTTTCTTTGAGATGTTTAGTCAAGTTGGATTATATTTTTCTCATGCTCTCTTTCTGCTTTTCTCTTTGATTGTTTCGTCTGCTGAGTGGTGAGTACTCAAGGTTACTTGTACTTCTGCTTGCATGAAAGTATCTGGTTTTATGTAATTGAGACTGGAAAGTAGTTCTTTCCTTTAGGGCTAAGTCAGTGGTTCTTACGATCTACAATCGTGTTTCAATCTCACCCTAATAAGTAAACTCAAGGCAAGTAGACAAGGTATCCTCGGAGGTGCATATTGTTAGACTGCTATATTTAGTTCTTTTGACTTTCATTTGTTTTATTATTTTTTTTTCAGTCCATGCTATATTTATTCATTGATTATATTTAGTTTTAAATTAATTTTTAGTTTTTTTTTTTGGTTCCAAGAGGACGAAATTTAATCAAACTTAATGAATTAAATGAAAAAAATATATTAAAGTAAAAAAAAATAGTACCATTATTTTTTAAAAAAATAAATGAGTAATATAAGAGATACTTGTGACTCCTTATAGAAGTACTTGTCCCTAAAAATGGGATCACGCTTATCAATTGTCATGTTCTGTTTATTCAGCAAGTATATGCTTCTACGATTTCTCTATCACAAGCTTCGCAACAAATGAAAGCATCATTCTTAATGTCAAATAATTTTTATCTGAGTCGAACCTTTGCGTGGTAAAATGCAACTTCAACTTCATGCCGGCAAATGGAAGGTAAGCGCATCTTTTGAACAATGGGATCATGGGATGTCACCTATCTTTTTTCCCCCTTAGCACTGTCAATTGTGGTTTCATATGAAGGGTGCTTCCAATAGTCCTTACACTAACGGATGCAAGTGATCGACAGTAATGTTAGGATCTTTAAAACTTAAAAAGAGACAAAAAAAGAAGGACCTAAATAGAATGCAATTTCATCTTTCCATATAGTATTATATATAGATAGATAGATAGAGTTCTTTATGACAGTTTAAAGAGAGATAAATTTCCCCCCACCGGAAGGGAGATCATCCATCCCTGGAAGCTTCATGAATACACCTGTGACATCCTAAACTGATGCACTGCCATCTAACACAACGCCTGTTGAACGACCCTCAAGGGCTGTCTCAAGATGGAAGCCTCAGTTTCCAAAATATGTTATATGATTCATGCAGCAGCTAACAACTCTACCACCATAACTCTTTGAAAATGGTTGATGCTATCAACTGCTGAACAAAACCCGCCTTATGCCTTTTCTCCTGCTGATCCTTCTCATCACCAGCCCTGCACGGAAAAAACCATCACTGATATTTCAACATTTGGTATGAATCTTCATAGATGCAAGGATGCAGATTTCTTTGACATGAACACGACTGTTTCTTAGGTTAATTAACCGCATAGCAGTAGGATAGGAGCAAGAAATGAAAACTTGCCTTTGAAATAGCACCAGTGAAAGGCACATATGCTCCTTTAGAACATAAACAAGATCATTTGACATTAAATAGTCAGCATGACACTAGACCTCCTAAACCAGAGACTGGTGAAAATAACAGATCAGCTCAGCTTTGAAGATTAAAAACGTCACTCCTTCTATAGTTGTAGTACGAACTAGTTTAACTTGTTTTGACACTGGTAGTAGATGAAAATGACGGGTTGCTAAACGCACTAAATCAAATTCTTATTACTGTTGTATGTTTATGACCAGCAGAATCATGTTAAGCAAACCTAGCATATTAATCATAACGCAGGAAAATATTCCCACGTCTGAAAATGCGTTTGCTTTTGCTGTCAGTTCAATTCTCCATGTCTATAGGTTTCACAATTCGCAACCAGTCAGTCGTTTCTTAGTTCGTGGCTAGAATATGTTCATGGTCCATAATGTTTTCGTCAATCAATTGCAACTGAACTATAATCTTGCTATCCTTTGCGGATTTTTCAAAGTACTCCTTATGTGAAAAGGATCATAAATGCAAAGATCCCAAATATGAAACATATAATAATCATCCGCCAATAAACAAAGCACAAGATGGTATGACACAACCATTCAGCAATTAAGGCAATGCCACCAGCTATAGAATTTCCCGAATATCATAAGAAGAAACGTTTTTATTTAGAGAATAATTAAATATAAAGTGGAACGTAATACATCCATCGCATTATTAGTTTATCAATATTAGTCAAGTTAGTAGTTTCTATATGTTTATTGTTTCCCAGAACAGGAGCTCAGCAAAGATTGCATAGGCAAAACAGTTGATTTTTGAGTGCACATATTTTTATATCCGGTCCACTCTTAAACTGGAAAGCTTTAAAAGTTTATATACTAACTTCTCATTACTGCTGAATCTCAGATGGAAAAAGGGTCTCACCTGCTTCCATCAGAGATTGAGACTTTGTTGTTGGTGAGTTCATCCTGATGAACACTGTCAGAGTTTTGAATAGAGCTATTACAGACAAAAGGGGACAGAATCAGATTAGTTGTTGGGTCATGTCGGTTTCCCCTTGCACCTGTGACCAGTTTCTTTCCAGGCATTGCTGAATTACCAGACAAGGTGTTGGATTTCTCAGGCTTGCGCCTCCGCTGCAAAACATGAGATCAGAATACACATTCAACCACATTATACAAGAAACAAATGCTTAAAAAGCCAAAAACTTGCTAGAATATATTCAGGACATACCTTGAGCGAGCTAGAATGCTGTACAATAAAATGTGCAGTTGCATCCCTCCCTAAATTTGCGGCACAAAGAGGGCAAACCTGAAACAGGAACATTGTAGCAGTCACTCGGAATTCAATAATAACTACTTATTTGTTTGTGATGTTTCGAAATGTCCTGTCTCATCCTTATCACCCTGATTCAGGTAAGGACAGGGTATCATATCAACTTGGTGCGAAAATGTTCTGTTCAGATGTTACGAACAGAAGCACACAAAAAAGGAACTAAAACTAAAGACCAACTAAGGACAGCCTACTCAAATCAATCTAGGGAAAAGACAGGAGCAAAAGGGTTCAATGCAATCAGAAATCATATGAACACAAATTTCTGCTAAACATGATTTAAGGATCAGAAAGTCATACCGCATTTTTTAGCTCAAAGCAATGCTCCTCTTGCAAATGGCTGCAGAGAACAGGAACTTCGATTTCCACATAACAGAAAGGACATGGAAAATAAGAACGCGCATCATCATCTCCATCTGACTCATAGAACACTGAAATATTGTCTGCATGATTTAATAGTGTTATTGTCAGCAGCTATTCCCAGCAGAAACACAGAAACTCTATTATATAAATCCCAGAAGAAAGAGCAGCCCAGCAAATAAACGCAACAAAAGCATCCATTTTACTTGATAGTTGTTTATATTTGATATACATCATCCAGCTCCCCGCAAAACTCCAATATCTAATGCAATTATGTTAGCGCTCCTTTATGTGAATAAATCTCTTTGGAACCGTGGGACAGCCTTAGTTTAAACACAAACTACTATTTTACATGATTAAAACTCGCTAGCGACATACCGAATTTCAAGAAATTATAAACTTGACCGAAAAAGAGTTATAGGGGCAGACACCAGAAGATGGGATACATTCGAACCCTGACCCAGCTTCCCACACTTATGGCCGAAAGGGGGAAAGCGCAATTTATGTGGGAAGTGAGCACCTTTTCTTCAGGGTCTCTCTGGATTATAAAAACAAGTATTGAAATTTAAAAGGTTTTCACCTTCAACAGAATTTAGGTCAAATGGATTTTCAATTAGCACAAGTTCATCCTCAAAATCAACATGACTTCCAGCTCCCTCAATTTCCATCTCTTCCTCGCTCAGAAATTGAAGAGGCAACCCTGTCAGAGGACACAATATGGGTTTTTCAATCTCAACCATTGAGACTGACGACTGTTCGTTCCTTGCAATGGATTGCCGAGGGTTCCCGACTTCAGCTAGCAACTATTGACGCTCCCCATCAAGTGAGTCGCTTTTCTTCTCAATGTAGTTTGTCATCTTGCTCCGCTTTAACTGAGCACCCCCAACTTCAGAATCAATAGGATTTGACTACCATTAATACAGTAAAAGCAAACCCTTTTGTCAAACTCTTGAGAGATTCCGAGGTGCTTGTTGTATAGAAATCAGAGAAGATATCTGACGGTGGACGACCTCTTTTGGTAAGAAGAACAGATATGGAAGTTTAGTAGATTCCCCCAACAAACATCTATTTAAAATATCAAATTTGTGGGCTTTTTCATACACAAGAATAATCATATTCATATGTATCCGAATCAGGATCCTTGTAATTCTTGCACCCCAGAACTTGTCAGAACCTTTAATGCGCATATACGGAGCATTGACTATTGGTTCAATTAATTAAAAGTACAAAGCGAAGAGCAATTGAAGCCATCTATATCTTGGATCAATCGCATCTGCAGTTACTTCTGGAAAGTGGTAGAAGCAACATCGCAAAGTCTGCCCCCTTTTCCTAAAATTAGGTCTTTTCTAGCAGGAAATCTTGGGTTCGACTTCTACTTGGAATCCATTGCACTGTGCTTGGCCAGCCTAATCCAAATTCACTTATACCCCAAGAAGGGAGAGAAGATTACAATACTAGGCAATCCAGAGAAGGAAAGGTGGGGAATTCGAACTAAAGAACATGAAAAAAACAGAAATGCTTAATAGTGAATGACAACTGTGCGGGAAAAAAATAAAACGAAAGAAAGTACCAGAGTGAAGGCGAGCTGCTTGAACAGCAGAGAGATGTTTGGCAGGATGAAGACCGAAAGACCTGAAGTCAAAGTCCATGGCATCAGATGTCCGTGCCGGCAAGAAAAAAGAGTTCAGTGAGCGTGGCGGCGGCGGCGGTCGTCAGAGACAAGCAGTGGCTAGAGAAGGAAATGCCCAAAGAGACGATTTGCTTCTTCGTCATCAGCTTTGATTGGCTGGCGATGGCTTTGCTCACTCGTACATTGGTGTCTGACACTCTGAAAGCTTTTCCAACACACAACTTCGCGATTGATAACCGACACGTGGAATTTCCTTTTTCTGCCCTCAACAACAAAATGTTACTAATTAAATAATACTACCATCCTTTTCCCCAAATTTTCTATCGCACCGGACGTTTGCTGACAGTTCTATCAATGAACACACACACATGCACACACACGCAGACTATCATCTTTATTAGAATAGGAAAGCTTGACCTCTATTCATTTTTCATCCTGGGGCTATCAATCTACAACAGACTGTTACAATTATTTTATACATTGAAAGACTTGAAAGATGGTTTAACCGAAATGAAAGCTCTGGAAAGCATTAAAAAGATTGTCCATTATTTTAAAATAAAACTTCTGTTCACCGTTGGAAGAAAATAAACCATGGTTGGTGGGTACACACGACTCGTCCGGTGCATGGAAAAAAGATAGAATTAAACCGGGTTTTTTTCTTTCTAGAGAAGAAAAAGGTGATAGAGACAAGATAAAGGCAAGGCTAATTAGGCTGAAATTGAAAGGTAGGTTCAAATGAAGAGGGCCTTGAAGAGTTTTTCTCTTTCCGACTTGCGACATTATAAAGACAACTTTTTGGAATGATCCTTATCAAAGTTTAATCTCCCACTGTTTCTAACTGGTATTTCTGGGGGATTGGATATTTCCCCCGTTTTTTTCCCAAAAAGAATAGATGGAAACTAAAGTGTCCAAGAACAAATATTATTGGATTGTCGAGACATCGAAGTTTGGAAAGAAACTATTTAGATGATAGACCCACACCGGACAGGACAAATACAAAATGATCTCACCATTTTACTTTCACATTATTGTTTTCAATAAATAAAGACTAAAGAGTGAATCGATACACACGGGGCAATTTGCATGTACAGCTATAGAGCTCCTTGCATTGGGGGCTCACTGTGTTCTTCGTGACACGAACGAAAGAGATGAGTGTGTTCATTGTGCAGCTCAATATTCTCGCACGCAAATGCCTTCCCACTTCACATGTCCATCACGTTCCCACATTTATAAAAAGAAAGGACAAGAAAAGGAACAAAAGGAAACAGAATCCTGAATATAAAAGATATGGATAGATATACACACATGCATATATGGATAGCAAATAAATAACAAAGTTCTCCCCAAGATCAATAACACCCACTTCAAGCGTCAAGATAAACAATGCACTAATACTGTAATACAGGCTATGCCTGTGAGGGGAGCCGGGGAAAAAGACGATGAATGGGATAAAGACAATGAAAGTGGGCGAGGATTGATTGAATATATTTTGCTGTGGCAAAGAAGCAACTTGTGCAAAGCGTTATCAAAAAGGTCATTTAATTTGTGGAAGAGGGAGGATTTCTCTATTTTTTTTTTTTCCCTTTTCACTCCACTTCTTCCATCTTCACTATTCAAATTATTTTATTAAATAATTTTTTAAATGATAAAATTAATGAATAGTAAGGATGAGGGAAATGGAAGGAAAAAATGTAAAAAAATCCCTCTTCTTTTGTAAAAATGCTTTAAATTGTTTGTTTGTTTTTTTTAATTATTGGTTTTATCTTGAAGCCTTTTGGGCCCAAAATTGTTTATACAATCTTTAGAACCACTTTTTCTCCCAAGTGCCTCTTGTCTCCAACATAACTTTAAGCTCCTTGCCTCGTATGCATGTATGCAATCCAGTGAACATAATTTGCTACACAACATAATGCATTCCCGTTAGATGCATGGTTCACTGTTCACACGATGCTAGTTTTACAATTTAATGCGTGATAACCAAAAAAAAAAAAAAAATGGCATCCATAACAATTATTTGAAAGGAAGTGTTTCGTGACTATTCTAGTGGTTGGGCCTAACGGAGCATGTTTTAGGAGTGCCACTCACTTTTGACAATGTCATGGATTATCTTGCTCAGAAAAATAACCATTACAATAATGCTGTATTGATTACCAAGACAAGAAGCTGAATTGTACTCTATTTATGTTGTATTTGCAATTCGATGACTTGGTAGTTTTGTTGTGAATTATTTGCAGATATTTAGATGTTTTTTTAAGACCAATGTTTGGAGGTGTTCTAAATTAATAATGCGATTCATTTCCTAGCAAAAATTAAAAAAGGACTCTGAGGTGTGGTCACTGTAAATAACTTTTAATATGAAAAAGCAATAAAATTAGAATAAGATGATTGTCATGTTTTTATTAAAATAAATATTATTAAATGATAATATATCAGAATAAGATGATTGTCATGTTTTTATTAAAATAAATATTATTAAATGATAATATATCACATTTGCATATTACACATTTCACTTGCTAAAATTCAAAATATCCTTTGTGTGCGTGTGTTTTTTTTTTTTTTTTAAATTGCTTGAGTAGTGGTCAAACCAAATGATTTTTGTGGAGCTGATCCGTACCTCACTAGTTAAACCCTAAACCCTAAAATTGTCATGCTTTTGAAAAGCGGACCGGCCGGTTTGCTCCACTTTGGCTTGCTCTGCTTCCCGGCTTCCCCCCTTCGGTCTGCAATCTCTTCGCCTCCTTCCTCCTCCTCCCTCGTGGTTGATCGTTCCGCCTCTTTCTCCATCACGGACTCGTCTGGGTCGTGGCGCTTGTCTCTTTCTCTTCCGTCTTCTCCTCCAGGTGAAGCTCGCCGAGTTTCTTCTTTTGTGGTCGCCATCGTCTCTCTCTCCCTCTTAGTGAAGCTCGTCTTCTCGTTATCAGTTTTGCATCTCGGCATCTCCTTCTCTGTCCCTGTTCGCTCTACCCTCCCTGTTCTGCATTTTCGATTCTTTCGAGTTTGGTTAACCTTGCTCAATTGGTTTGATTGCTATACTCCACTCAAATTTATTATTTTCAAATCTGAACAATGGATGCCCCATAGCTGCTTCATTTGGTTTTCTCATCGGGTTTATTATGCTCCTTAGAAAGAATATATAAGTTTCATACCTTAGAACGGAAAAGATAGAGACATTCTTTCGCAGCCATCTATGTGAATCTGGCTTTTTTAGTGGTCACGCAATTGATGCTACAACCTACAATCTAAAAAAGTATATTTCTGAAGGTTCTTCTGATTATGTTTTCCTTCAGTTCTATTCATGTAATTAAACATACCCTTTGAGATGCAGAGAATATTTCAGAGTGTACAACCAAACTTTAAGTGTCGAAATCTGTTCTGAATTTGGCCGATTTATGTTTATGGGTTGAAATCAAAAATCAAGAATTTAATGAAAGAATGGGTATTGAGTTTATTTGTGCTTACTACTTTGGCGATGATCTCTTCTTTCTTGTCGAATTGTAGCATTATCGGTTGTGTTATTCCTCCATGCAGTGATGAAGCGGGTGAAGGCAATGTATGGTTTCCTCAGAACCGTCGATTCTTTATGCGCTGGCCAAGTGCGCGTTCCTCGATCATTCAGCCATCAGGCGACTCGCTTCTCTCTCTATACTACTTCCCTTGAGCCTCGGCACCATGCTTTTCATCCTACTAGCTTTACTCAAAAGCTGTACTTATCATCAAAACCTAACTCTATTGTGGAGCTTCTTTTAGCCAACGATTGGTCCGATGGGTTGGAACGCGAGTTACAGAAATCTTGTCCCTTTATGACGCATGAAACTGTTGTCTATATTTTGAAGAGACTTGACAAAAATCCAGAGAAAGTTTTTAGCTTCTTCAACTTGGTTAACGAGAAAAACATGTTTACACCAAGTTCATCAGTGTATAGCTTACTGCTTAGGATTTTAGCTACTAAGCAGACAATGAAACAATTCTGGATAACTCTAAGGATGATGAAGGAAAAAGGCTTTTTCATTGATCAGGAGACATACATGACAATTTTAAGGACACTTAAGATGGCAAAGATGGAGAGTGAATCTGTTGCTCTCACCCACTTCTATAATCGGATGATGCAGGAAAGTGCGATGGGAAATGTTATTGCCAAGGTGGTTGATGTCATTGCAGGATCAGAATGGACTCCTGAGGTTGAGAACGATCTGGCAAAGCTTAAAATTCTGGTGTCTGATAATTTTGTTTTAAGGGTTTTGAAAGAACTTCGATATTGCCCTTTAAAAGCCTTCAAATTCTTTCAATGGGCTGGAAAGCGATCTGATTATGAGCACAGCACGGTGACTTATAATGCAATTGCTAGAGTTACTGCAAGAGATGAATCAATCGAGGAGTTTTGGAGTATTGTTGATGAGATGAAGAGTGCGGCTCATGAAATGGATATCGATACTTATGTAAAAATATGTAGGAATTTCTTGAAGAAAAAGATGATTGAGGATGCTGTCAAGCTTTATGAGCTTATGATGGATGGCCCATATAAGCCATCTACTCAAGATTGCAGTATGCTTTTAAAATGGATCTCTAGAGGTGATCCCCCAAATTTAGATTTAGTGGATCGAGTTGTGAATAAATATGCGTCAACTGGGCATATACTCTCAAAGTCAATCTACGATGGTGTCCACAGATCATTGACAGGTGCTGGGAAATTTGATGAAGCGAAAAAGATTGTTGAGGTTATGCGAAATGATGGCTATGAGCCTGATAACATCACCTACAGTCAATTTGTTTTTGGACTTTGTAAAATGGGAAGACTTGAAGAAGCGTGTAGAGTGCTGGATGATATGGAAAGTTGTGGATGCATTCCTGATATCAAGACTTGGACTATTTTGATCCAAGGGCATTGTGCTGCCAATGAAGTTGAGAAGGCATTACTTTGTTTTGCAAGGATGATTGAGAAGGGCGGTGAAGCAGATGCTGATCTATTGGATGTTCTTGTTGATGGTTTTCTTAATGTGAAGAAAATAGATGGTGCACACAACTTGCTTTTAGAGATGATTGGTAAGTGCCGTGTATCTCCATGGCAAGCTACATACAAGAAGCTGATTGACAAGCTATTAGAGGTCAGGAAATTTGATGAGGCACTGGACCTTCTTCGTTTGATGAAGGAACATAACTTCCCTCCATTTTCTGAACCCTTTGTGAAGTACATATCAGAGGTAGGAACTGTAGAGGATGCCGAAGAATTTCTGGAGGTTTTGAGTGTGAAAAGTTACCCGTCCTTTTCAACTTACCTTCGTATATTTGAATCCTTCTTCAAAGAAGGCAGGCATTTTGAGGCAAAAGATCTGCTTTACAAGTGCCCGCCTCATATACGTTCGCACCATAAAATTTGTGAACTTTTTGGTTCTGCGAAGAGCAGCACAGCTGCTTCTGAATCCCTAGAAAAAGTTTCCCCAGCATGTAACAAACTTTCTTCAAACTACACACAAAATAATTTGTAAGGGGGATGTATTTCACACAAGATTAGTTAGAGTTAATAATGTTTCCGGGGTATTTACTCTGAACCTGGTTATTATTATTATTGGCTTATTAAATTTCGACTTCGTTTTACGCATATCACTTTATGGAAGTTCTGGACCTTCATTCATAAGTATCTCGTTGTGCGGCCTCTCGTTGAATTTTTGGGAAATCGGGCTTCGAAGATTACTGAAAGAAAAAAAAAATCAACGCTTTTTTTAATGTATAGTAGTTGATAATGTCGGCCACCCATAAATAAATTTGAGATCTGTCGTTCCTCACGAAGTGGGGCATGCATCTCCCAAGTTTGTTCTGGGTGAACCATCCTCAGCTGCTTGCTCACCTGTAGGTGTGAATTGTAATGCCATGCAGTCAAATGCATGCGAAGATAAACTTGGAATTTATTTTATTCGGTTCAAAATATAAGTAATTTTACTTTTTAATAAGAACTTACACACCAATAAAATTTATTCTCATGAAAATATATATTTTTTATCCTTAATTTTAATTTATGATGAATGAAGTCATAAATTCACAATAAGCACGAAAATCCATATTAATAAATATAATAGGTAAAATGAATATTTTTTTTACTGATATTAAGTTGTTTATATTTTAGAGTAAAATTAGCTAGAAAAAACAATTTATATTCTGGAGTAGAGGGAGTATTATACAGATCCTGTTTATACTGGTCGGCTGACTTGTAAGTCTCTACAATCTACATAACACTGGTCTTACTTGTGAGTCCAGAAGAATGATTCAATTTCCTAAGGCCAGCATTTTTTATGAGCAGGCTTACCATCTGTTCCTCTGGGGGATCAGTCATTCAATGCATATTATATAAATAAATATTATCACTGTTAAGACATTTATCGTATTGTATTGCAGCCAAGCATGTCACTTGGGAAGCTCAGAACGGTCCCTCTTCGCTGTTCCTATCATTGTGCATAAGAACTTAAATGGGTTGCAATCTGAAGGATTGGCAAGGGCAGCATGCGCCAAGAATGGAAGCTTTCTCAAAGACCTCCCGCTCATTCCCTACAAACAGATAGAAGTCAACATTCAAGTTTAATAAAAAAAAATCGCAAAGATCAGTAGTTATTTTTGTCCCTACCTCACATGCCTCTGCAGTTTCAAGTAATTGTTTACACAAACGAGCGGCGTCATGGTTCTCATGTGCGTTCAACTTTTGCTTAGCATTAACATAATTCGGAAGCTTGATGTTCATACAATCCTAACCAATTATGGATAATTTAGCCGCCAGATTAATGAACCAACCTCCAAAACGGAATAAAGATTAAAAATTATCAATGCGCTTATCGGGGGGAAAAAATTCTGGACATTAATGATAACACTCTGCACCTGAAAACTTGTCAAGATCCCTGTGCGCATCAACTCCTCCAAGCACGACCTCAGTATTTCATAGCGAGCTTGGAGAGTTGGAGGACCAACATATGCTTTGATATCAGCTCGATCGACAAAAGCAATATCTGCAAGGTAACTGATAAATCTGAATAATCTGCGACTTGTAAATTGTCCATTCTAACCGAAATTGAAGATAGAGGAAGTGGAAACTGAAGAAAGAAAAAGGATCCTTGGCCCCTTTTGTCTACCAAAAAAGAATCATAAAAATTTTAGCATGGCTGGCCAAGTTCAATGGTGAAATGAATAAAACAAGAGAAAATAGGAAGGCTTGTTTTTATGCATATCTAAGACATTCTCTAGCACTACAAATTAAACTTAGACGCTGGCAACTATTGTTCAAACACCTATGCTAGCCCCAAGCAGGTTTTCGAGTAAAAACTTAAAAACCCATTGTGCGTCAATTCAGGTTTTCAGCGTCCAAATAAACCAACAAGATTAGCTTTGCCCCTTCTGGGAAAGCTCAACTTTCACATGGAAACTAGAAGTCAGACGAAAGACGACTATCCATGGTGGGAGAGGACATAACTTACAAGGCCTGAGGAGATAAACTGAATGAGCGAGAGGTTTTAGGCTCACCGATAGCAGCAGTTATGTTGGATGTAGTTAGAATTATCACATTTGGAGAAGATTTTAACTTGTCCATCTGAGTTAACAACGCATTGACGACCTGAAATTGAAGATTCGGATTCAGTATGCACTAATCTACGCACCGCAAAGGAAAAACAGCTCATACATCTGGATTTTATATCTATGCATTTATATAGCGTGTTCTACTTGTTCCAAAATGAGTAGAATAGTTTTTCTTGTGTTTCCCGTAAGGAGGAGGGGAGGGAGATTTTACCCGAATAGAGTCTGAAGGTTCAGAACCAGACAAAGCAGCTTTTCTGGCGGCAGCAAGGCTTTCGACTTCATCTGCAGGATCACAGTCATTTACAATCAAGCTTGTACAAGGGTGATTGATACATGACCATTAAGCCAAGTCATATGCCTCACCAATCAAAACAAATACCAGATTGTTTTCTTCCTCTACCATTTCTTGAATCTTTTGGAAAAGCTTTGCAACCTATTAAGAATATTCAATGAAAGATATAGACATTTATCATTTATCAATATAACAAAGTTGTACAAATACAGTTCCTCGAAAGCAAATTGTATAGTTTTTGGGTTGGCAATTTTGCATTTCGACACATTAATCACCTTGACATGAACTTCACAAATTCTTATATGAATGTAATGGCACAATACTCTTGGCATCCGGACTTTACAAGTATAATTGAAGTGAAATAACTCATTTAGTTATGAAGCTAGTAAATCATGTTGGTCTCATGCATGTAATTGATTTGTTCCTCATCCTGCTAGCTAAAGGCAATAGAAATACATCTTGATGTGCAAAGTCAAATTTAGTTGGAGAGACAACAACGAGGAGGAGAACTGCATTTAATTTATGAATCTGAAGTCAAGAAAGTGATGATACTATCCAAATGAAGTCACCAACTCTATGGGTGCTGTATCGGAGGCTTCCAGGTTTTAGGATCTCTTGTTGATTTCATTGACAGATAAAGGGAGATACAGCTTGGCATAGACTCTACACTCGACGAACTCCTTCCGCTATTATTTAATTCAAATAGTGATTTGTATCCCAAAAACCATATGATGGGGATATAGCTGAGTTTGGTAACAGGCATTCATGCAAGGCGGTGGAAATAGGATAAGGGAAAAGTATGAACGAAGGAATGATGAGAATTTTGGAGATTGTGAAGCATTTTAGTTGATATTTTCAAATTTCTTCCCCGTTCTAATCAGTTTCAGGTAGAAAATTTGCTGACCAAGATGCGTCACACGTTTAATCTCAAAACCTGACCAGCAAGCTAAAAGTTCAGAATTTCTACTCCCTAAGTTGACCGGGTGCGTTCGTGATCGTAGTTGTTTCTGTAGCTTGTAGCTCATTTACTTTCTCAGTTCTGTTCAGCTTTGTTTCTTCTTCTCTTTTGTTATTTTGGTCGTTTGCATAGGAATAGTTTTTACAAATATTTTATTTTGCTAAGGCGGTTAGTGAGCTAAGCTCTTTCTCCACCGGTACCCTAGTTCTAGTAGCATAAATCAAATAAGTTAGAGAGAACTTCTGACAAATCAGCCAAAAAGAAACAGTTATTTGCTTTTTCTACAAATGTTAATATTAATATTGGTTGACCAATGCAAAATTTTTCTCCATTTTCAAGTCATACACGGTTAGAATCCCACTAAGCACCGACAGAAGTATTTCCAGGTGTGTTATGTCCAAGATATTTCCAACATTATCACGTCACAGACAACTAACATTCAACTCACAGACACATCAAACATCATAGCTCCTATGCAGAACATGCATGAAGCGAAGGCTAGAAGTAAATCAATGGAGGAGTCAGAATTATGAAGTAAAGGCGCACAAGTATACCAGCTTGCCACTTTCAGAGAACCATTTACTGAACAAAGAGTGTGCATTAACTTCAATCAGCTGACACTGGGAGTATCTGAATGAATTTAAACCAGAAACTTAGTGAATTCATTTTTGTCCCATTGTTTTCACTACTTGGTAGAGTGCGTGTATATATAGAGAGAGCTGAAGAAATAATTAGAAATGTAGATTGATGCACCTTTGATTGAATCGGATGGATAGTTTTTGTGCTAATGCTTTACATAAAGATGTCTTTCCAGTCCCAGGAGGTCCGTGTAAGAGAACAATGCTGCGATTAATCAAGGAATCAAGAGTCACGACACATTCAAGATTATTTCATTTGGGCAATAAATTAAATTTTCAGCCACATGAAACTAATTGAGGTGGTTAGAGTGGGTTGGGACGCGTAGTGACCAAGGTTCAAACCCTTGACGTAACCCCCAAGAAAACAAAAAAAAAAAATTATTTGCCAGGCAACAAATGGAACTAAAATTGAAGTGTCACCGTAAAAGTGGCCAAGCAGAGACTATTAAACTTCTTTTCAGTATAGTGAAAGAAGTGGTATCACTAGAGATTGTACCGCTTCTGATGCTGGTACTACGTATAGTACATTCATCTCACTGAAGTCTAAAGACCAACTTCCAACCAATACTTGGTGATCTGTCTAATTAGAGTTTGTACCGCTTCTGACGCTGCTATTATGTAAAGTTCATTCATCTCAGTGAAGTCTAAAGACCAACTTCCAACCAATACTTGGTGATCTACACAGGCGATGTCACTTGTTGACGAAATCAAGCACAGCAACAGAACAAGAATAAAAAGAAGGCAACCAAGGGCATATTTATCCTTCATTTTTCTGCTAAAAAAAAAAGGCCGGACAATATTATTTAAGCTCTAAATTCTTCAGTTTCAGTAGGAGTCCCAAGAAGCAGGATGAATTAAGTGCCACCATCAACAAATTTTTGTTCTCTAATGAGCAGCAACCTCCTAGTTTTTTATTTGGGAAAAAAAAATGGAGGAGGTCACTTCACAATTTCCCAGCTCGATCACACCTACGTGGTATTTTTGGATGTCTTAAAGCCAAATTAGGTATCATTTCCGGAGAAATTTCATGCCTACTACCTACCAGCCAAGATCATGGACAAGCACAATATTGTAAACTAAAGCTTCAGAATTGAAGACCAAAAGCAGGGAAAGCAAACCTAAATAAATACTTTGAGA